ATAGTTTAACCCAACAACAAATAGTGCCGTACTATTGTAACAAACATATTGAAGATCCTGCACCAGCAAGACGTCAGGACAAGTCGTGTATACTTAGTTTGCAATTGTTAACAAAATGCTGAGCAGCCGAGAAGCAACAGAGAACGAGTTAACCTGACATCTCCTCAATGTCAGCTTGACAGCCAGCCCAGAGAGCGAGACGTTCCTTTACTCTCTCCTGAGCACATTTCTCGTGTGAAGAAGGCCATTTGGCCCATCAATCCTGTGCTGGTGCTAGTTCCCTCACTGGATATCTCTCTGCATCCTAATCCCTTGCTCTTTCCCGAGTGAGTTGCTGTTAGCATTTAAAACCTAAAAGGTCAGCCGGGTGGTGGTGGGGAGGGGGGAGCCTGCAGGTTTGAGTAGCACTTGACTGGTCTGGGAACTTCAGTGGAGAATTTGAGAAGTTGGGGTATTCTGTACAGAGAACATGCAGACACTTTCCTAAACCTAGATACCTCAACCAATCCATTTCCACACTCCCTTAAGGGCTACAAGCAGCGTAACAGGGGAGGGGGGTAGGGATGGGGAATGGGTGTGTGTGGGAGGGGGGGTTGGGTTAAGGCTTGCTACTTAAAAGGATCAAATTCAAGGATTATTACTATCGTATATCCTAAAAAAACAAAAAAAACTGAAAGAACCAAAATAAGCAGCAATAGAAATACTAAGCACGAATGAGGCTGATGTGAAATAACATTATTTTTGTAACTGTAACTGCAGCAGAAAGCCAGGCTGGGGACATCGACAATGTCTGACTGCAAACAGGGCATTGCAGTCCTGAGATCGCTTGTCGGCTAAGATTTAGAGATCTGCCATTGAAGAGAACGATGGGAACATGTGTCCAAACCAGTCAGCTGGTCAGGTATTTCAAAACACGCTGTGGCCATTTGGGGAGAGGGTGTCTCCTGCAGTCTGTACATTTCCTGGGCCTCTCAGAGACAGCAGGCAACCACACACAGTCTCTCTCTCTCTCTTTGCTTCACAAATTAACTTATTCCTAAAGATGTGAAGCCAGCCAGCAGCCAGGTTACACGAAAAGGCACATTCACCCAATCCGCATAACTGTGTGAGCTCAGACTGCAAACACTTGGCCGTGCACTAAATAAACTCCTCGAAAGACATCCGCTGCTCAATCCCATGCGTGGATGGTGGGAAAGGCTTTCAGAGCTGTCCGCAGTGAATAATCTCAAAACGATTCAAAACGAGGGATGCTGCTCAAAACACAGCGAGGGACTTTCTCAGGATCTCTGCCAATCTTTTCCCAACCGTGCCCAGGCAGAGCAGCTGACCAGAATAAGCAGGGGCGGTCATATTGCTGCTTCGACAACACTTTGTTAAGGGATCAATTGTAGCAGCTCAAAAACTCTGTGCAATGAATCAACACAACAACAACAACAAAAAACACGACATGCAACTTACAAATGTAGAAATTCCACACAAAATGATCCTTCTGGGTATTTTCCTACAAACACCCCAAAGCCATTCCGAATGGCAGCCGTGTCCCCTCACACTCGCACACACGAGCTCGTTAATAGAAAAACGTTTGGCAATGAAAAGCAGCCAATTTCCAGAACTCGCGCTCAACTGAGATTTATTTACATATTGAATTGCGCGGGGAACCAAGGAGCTGGTTGAGTGGGTATGCACTGTGGTACTGTGCTCGTCAGGGTCAGTGCTGTACATGGAGCAGGACGCTGCTGTGCTCCTAATAGCAACACATTCCAACACCATCATTAGTTGTTCTCGAGAGTTTAGAAACTTATATAAAACTTACAATTGGAATGTCAATTTATTATTAGTATTCATAGTGCTTTATGACAGCAAATATTCACCACTGAAAGACTGTGGCAAAACTACCAGTTATTGGGAGCATTATAGAAAAATATTTCTAAGGCTCTGGACCGAACGTATTTTCCCTCTACTCCTTTCTGATTTTACAAATCTTGTGCTTATGTGGCTGTATCACAACAGGTTTTAAAAATATATTTGTAGTAAAATATGCTATAAGTGCTTTGGGGAATGTATTTTTTTGGGCTGATGTCTACCAGCCAATTGAGTGAAAGCAATCGTGAGCATCTCAGGATATGTCTGAGCTTGGCACCTCCACTGGTAGTGACGCAGCCCTACACAGCCAGGAAACACTGACCGTTCCTCTCACCCCACCACATTTCTAACTCATTATTATTAAATTGCTGGTGAATAGGGCACACAGATACAGGTTTTATTCACTGACTTTAAGGTGGTTGGATAGTGCAGGCAGTAATCTCAGAAGACGTTTGCGGGGGTGGAGGCGGGGAGGGGTTCAGTACATTCTGAGGGAAGGAACGATGAAGGAGGGAGACCCGGAGAGGGCGTTACACATTTCCCTGATAATTGAGGAAGGTTGGTAGTGGGACATGTATTGTTGACCTGGGAAATCAGTGGGTATTGCTCTCCTCTACACAGCCTGCCCCAAATGGACGGGAGACATGAAGGCGTTGGATGTCAGGAAGAGAGTGAGAATGGTATACAAAGTACTCACATTGGTACAACCATCAAAGCCCAGCACCCAGGCTGTAGCTCACTGGCATGAGAAAGATTCCACCATGTTTGAGGAAGCTGAGACACCAGGCACTAAACTGCCTTTTCCTGGAATTGGTTCGGTCCTCACTGTACTGAGTGTGTGGGGGGGTGTGGGGGAGAAGAGAGATGGGGGGAGGGGGGAAAGAGGGGAAATACAACCGTGAAGATTTAAGAGAACATCTTTCTTCAGTGATGTTGCCAGCAGGGGATGGATTTAATGCTTTCTTTCATTTCATTGCCGATAGTGATTTTTGTTTTAATGAGTCATTTTTGAATGTTATACACTTTTTTTAAAAAAAAAAGAAACTGAAAAAGGTGTTGGTCTGCAACCCCAGTAAGCAGAGCTGAGGCTCGGACACCAGAAACACCTTCGTTCTGCAGGTGATAATTTTCTCAGTGGGAAAGTTACAGTGCAAAAGACAGAATACATATTGATGCTACAAAATGTGTTGGTTGGTTGACCTGCGACGCCGGCTGTGTGGGATGGGGGAGGGAAGTGAAAGGGTGGAAACATGGCAGTTCAGCTGTGTGAAAGCAGAGAGTGGACGGAATCTCGCCCTCTCTGTCAACCATCAATGTGAACCGAAACATCTAACGCCATTGCCACGTCCTAGCAAGCTAAAAACCAATAATGCAGCATCTTCTTACACTAAATACAAGTAACAAACAGGTCACAGGGAACTGTGTCTGTCTGTCTGTCCCAGGGTAATGTTTGCCTGGAGGTGAGTAATACTGAATGTGACAATAGGGGCAGCTTCTAGTAGAAAATCCTAGGTTTGCCAGTCAGGTCAAGTGACGTTACAAAATGAATAAATTGCCAGTGTTCTCAACACAGAACTCACGTAAACTCTAAAATTGTTCTCAGAAAGTCAGCTTCAAGAATTATTTACACGGGAAAAAAAACTATACAACTCTTAAGATTTCTCTACTGAAGTACTTAATTCAAAAGTATTTTGGAATCATTTTCGCTCGCTCGCAGCATTAAGTGCAGGTTCTGAATATTGGAAAGGGGTGGGGGGTGAAGAGCGGGGGGGAAAGAAGCATTTGCTTTTAGGATTTGCACAGTTCCTAAGGCCCTGATCTAAATGATTAAACTCAGTGAGATGTACAATTGACTGCTTTCAGTAACGCTTTCAATAATTTGTAAAGACTGAAAGCCTCCCTGACACCCATGATATCTTTACCCAGCTTTTCCTGCTCTACCTGCTGGTAACACCAAACTCAGGCTGCCTACAAACGCATCGCTGCAGATACCAAGGCAGCACTGAAACAGAGAGGCTATTCAGCCCCAAATCAAACCTCGTAACACAACAGCTGTCCAGACCATGGCTACCCAAGCTTGGCTAGTGTGGTTTCTACATCGACTACATGTCACACACGCATGTCACACAGTAACACGCACGCTGTTCAGTTAATTTATCCCCATCAGCAGCAAAGCAACAAACTTCTAATGTTATCCAGCAGGGAGACATCTGCAATGTTAATCGACGAGGGATCAAGTGTACCCCCAGGCTCCTCGTCTCAAACAGCAGTGTGGACCTGCAGCACGGCACGCTGGCTGTGAGCCCTCTCGGGATAAAGTCATTACATTCTCAGAAATGGTACTGAAATTGGAAGCTTCAAATTACATACACAAATTGTCATAGAGATCGTTCCAACTGAGGTTTGATTTCCTGAGCTGATCAGCCCATCGCAGGCAGGGGAGCTGTGGGTATCTGAGGGCTGTACTCACAACCAGACTGGATTTGAACACCACTTGTCCACAGTTACGAAATGTTAGTCAGTGAATGATTTCTGAAGGACAAGTGAAACAAGGCTATTAGTAGACCATGCGGCATGCCCCCCTCCCCTCAGTAATGTGCAAACTGTGGGCACAATGATTGGCACTAATGTGCCAGTCTGCACCCAAGGGCTAACTTGCAGCTTTCTGTGTAAAAGCTGTGATATGTGAAGGTTGATGGGTTGACAAAGTTTTGTAACAGTGCTGCGCAGTGTGAGGGCTTCTGTGCTGACGCACACACTGCGCTCATACAGGGAGCAAGGGGCAGAGTCCAGCACTTTGCTTCCAGATCCCATCTTTAATCCTGCACAACGAGTGTTCCACATGAGCTGATGGGAAACTTCCTGAGTGGCTCCCAGTAACCGACACACACACACACAGAGCCCCGGTAGGTCCGTCCACTCCGCTCCCCTGGGACGGATGATGGGAGCGTCACTGTGGAGACCAGCAGCACGTCACCCCCAATACTCGCTCTCTTTTTAAAACAAAGTTGAAAATCATTCATCAGGTCATTGTCATGTCCTTAATTTCCAGGCGGGGGGAGGGGAGTGGAGGGGGGGGGGGAAGAGGGAGAGAGAAGCTTGTATGGGTGAACTCTCTTTGCACTTATCACACACAGCATTTAGACTGGGGAAAGTGCTTCCCCATATATTATTTTGAACCTAGTAAAGAGGATGTAAATGGAGATACGGCCGCAGTCTGTCTCCCTGCCTGGCACCTCCTAGAGCCCCTTCACCTAAGCCCAGCCCAGCGCCACCTGCATCAACAGCGGAGTGCCCAGTCCATGTGGTTTCCCGTGTGAATTACAGGATTACTTAATGTATATCATGCAAGTAATGTAGTTTGCCCTATAAACAGTCATAGTCTGCTACAAAACCTACACACAACACACTGTGGTGCAATATCAGCTATATACCCCCTCAACCATAATTATTATAGAAAACAGAATCCATATATTATAATTAAAATGACAAAGGTTATGATTGTGCTACACAGTTACTTCAATGAAAGTTGGCCTTTACACAAAGGCCAGCACAAAATTATGATGTAATTTACAATGTGAAATAATTTCTATTCAATAACTTGGAGCATGGAAAATGTTGAGGCGCCAATATTTATCCAGTGAAATTTGTAAAATATCCCAATACTGCCGGCAGTCTAGCCCTCAAGAGACTCGCTCCCTTTCACCCCTTCCAAACAATGGATAGAAAACAAAAACAAGCACCTATAAATAAGCACAAAAAATATTCTCGTATACTGAAATCATCTACGGTTAGTTTTTAAAGATATGGCAAGAAAAAAAAAGTCTGTAACTTGTGACTAACTAACTCACTTGAAGACGCAGCTTATTCAATGTAAGGTGGCAGTAGTGCACTCTAAATATGCACTGGTACATGTGACATAATCAGACCAAATGACAGGCACACACACTTGCGTATTCCTGTACACACTTGCACCCATGCGCGCACACACACCCCAATCACACTCTTGCGGATTCCTGTACACATTGATACAAGCGCACATTCCTGTACACACTTACTCATACACACACACACGCGCATATTTCTGTACACATTCGTATTTGCAGGTGCACACACACACACACACACACACTCGTAAAGACAATATGAGGTCTGATCAGTGTGAGTCGTGGTTTTGGAGGTTAAAAAGCAGGTTATAAAATACCTAGATTCAGATTTTGTCCTGATTTGGCCTAAAATGGAGTGTATTAAACAAATCCTGGCCTTGCAAAGGAACCAGGGATCGGTTAAAGCTATGAAACAATGTGACTACGTATCATTAACTCTAGTTCACGTACAAGAAAACACTAACTCACCTACCACATCCTTTTCAACAAATAGTTTTTTTTTCTAAACGTGACCTTTTTTTCTTTAAAAATAAGTGGACTAAATGTGTTTTTTTTTTCTCTTTCAAAGTTTAAAACAGCAGGAATTCTCAAAATATCTACGAAACCAAGCTAGTGTGTTTAGAGTCAGATGACTGTGCAATCTCTCAGTGGCAACCGGACAGCTACAAAATTCTAGTCATTTGAAAACTCTTCCAATTTTTTTTTCGTTCTCTCTGGTTAAGAAGTTAATAGTGTAAATATCGCTCTGCTGCCATTTCATGGCAAAACAACGCCCCCCTCTCGAAACCGGGAGGGTCTCTGCTCGGTGGACCCCACCTGGCGGAGGGAGTGGGGGGCAGAAAGGCAAAGCTGTAACAGTTAATCCCAGACAGTCTGAAAATCAGTCATGACACAAAAACACTTCAGGGTACAAAAAAGCTTAACTGCACATTTCAACTCTTTCTTTTAGTTTGAAAATGCAATGCTGAACGGAACTTAATGCTCTCCTTTTTCTATATGCACCTTGGCCTATGTGGCATTTGTGCCCTGTGGCCTGCAGGGCATTAAGTGCGCGACAGAATAAAATGAGTACACAATGTCCAGGTCTCTTTATACCTAAACTCTCAGAAGTTGTGCATAATTAATAATTTAATCTCAAAATTCCCATTCAATGGGCTCTTCCCGACTGGCAGCTTTCTCTAAACGGTGGATAATGCTGTTCAAGTTTGCTGCTTTCTTACGTCTTAAGCTGTTTTCTCGCAGGCTTGTTTTTTGGGCTGGTGAGGCCGTGTCAGAGAAGCTGAACAGGCCTTTCTGAAAGGTCGCGGTGGACGGGGAGGGGGAGGGGGTGGCTGCGCTGGAGGGCTGCCGGGACACAGAGGTGGTCTCGGCTATAGAGGCCGATGTGGAAGCAGGCGAGGTAGAGGGCTCCTCTCCCCCCGCTGTCTGGCCTGCGGGCTGGCTCTTCGGGAATTCCTCCGGGGACGTCTCAGATTCCTGCGCTTCCCGGACAGACTTCCGGCTCCGGGCAGGGCACTTCAGGCTGCCCTCATCCTCGCTGTCGGCACTCGGGGAGACGGTGGCGTCCCGCCCTGAGTGAGACGTCTCCTTCTGGTCGCCCGGCTTGGCATCCTGCATGTCGGCCATGGCAGCCTCGCCGTCATCCTCGCACAGACTGTCGGCCTGCCCGCCCTGAGGGCTGCCCCGCCCCCCGCTGTAATCCTCCACACCCACCAGGCTTTCCTTCTCTTCTGCCACAGCTTCCAGGTCTCCCCCGTCACAGCTCTCGCCCTCAGAGCTGTGCCCCGTCCTGCTGCCCCTGACAGAGGGGGAACCGCTGGACCCTGCCTGGCCATGACACCCTGCCTGCACCTCCTCAATGAACAGCTCTCTTCGGATACGGGACCTGCAATACCAAACATTTTGAGGTTAGTTTTCTCGCTCCTGTACTGGAGCTCTCTACTCTAATAATAATAATCCTTGCATTTGATATAGCGCCTTATCACATCATTGTGACGTTTCAAAGAGCTTCACAGCATACACTGTAAAGTGAATTGACTTTGTATTTTGTGGGCGAAACGTGGCAGCCAATTGCTCACAGCTGTCCCACAAATAGACATGGATGGAGTGACCAAACTATTATTTAAATTTTTTTTATATGAAGGTATTATTACCCCCGGAAAAGCGGTCTACCAATCAACTAACAATCGGGTTCCTACTTACTGCTGCAGAGGCGTGTGGAGTAAGGAAACTTGTCTAAGGTTTCGCCCTGCCCGGGAATCAAACTTGGGTCCTCTCGCTTGTGCTCTAACCACTTTGTTACAGGACTCCACTAATCCCATTCCCCTGCTGTTATGTTATGGTACATAAGGTGTCAGGCTGACACCACTCATCTGAGTTCAGGAGACAGACAAGACAGGCAGTGACAGGCAGACAAAGACAGACAGGAATGGAGTGACAGGCAGCGAGGACAGACAGACAGACAGGACAGCAGTGACAAACAAGAGATGGATTAAGTGGCGTCTGTCTGTGCCAGGAGAGGAACGAACCTGTAGTTGTGAAACCAGTTGATGACTGTGCTGGTCTTTAGGTTGAGCTGTGCAGCGAGTTCCTCTATAGTTTTGGGGGAAGGGTACGGCTTCAACTGGTAAGCTCTCTTCAGGGCCTCCTTCTCCTCGGGGGCCAGGACCACTCGGGGCTTTTTGAGCTGGACCTGAGGCTGGGGGCTGGCACTCTGGCTGTAGTCCAGCCCAGCCACTGATGAGTCACTGCCATGGCCGTCGCTGACTGAGCTGTGCCTCCGCTTCATGTAGGCTGCGGGAGGAAGAGAAAAACATTGATATTCCCCGTTCACTGAATACAATGAAAACAGAAATGAGCTTTTAGTTAACGTTGATGAATTGTCTTTGCTCATCAAAGTGAGGGACGTCGGCCGGGAAGATGGGAACAACTCCTCTCTATGTTGGTGCCCTGCAGGGCGGTCTCAGCCTCGTGCTTTAGTCCCGACTCCAACAAGCGCAGCTAACACACGACAGGTAACATTCCCGCTACTAGCCTGCTTTACCTCAAACACACATCACACTGGACAGCCAGGCAGTGAGGAGAGAGATTACAGTAAATAACACTATGAGTGCCTCTTCCCCATCTCTTTCCCCACTGCCCTCTCTCCTCCAGCCTCCCGTGGCCGCCATGCGCATTTTAGTTGCTGCTCCCCTACGTCCCCTTCCTCACCCCAGACCTTCTACACCACCCCCTCCTTCTGCCACGGCCCCTACCACTACCCCCTCCTTACACTTCTTTGAGATGAAGCCTGCCACCTGCTGCCTTGAGCTCCTCTCCACTCAGCTGCTGGTCACCCAACTCCCCCTTCTCTCCCCACTGCTGGTCGACACAGTCACTCTCCTCAGGTTCTGTTCCTCTCCCCATTAAAACCGCTGTCATCAATCCCCTCCTCAAAATACTCTCCTCTGACCCCTCCAACCTCACAAATAACCGTCCCATTTCCAACCTTCCTTGCCAAAGCTCTGGAATGCGTTGTTGCTAACCAGCTTTACTCTCACCTCTCCCTCCACAAGTCCCTCCAGTCTGGTTTCCAGCACAGCACAGAGACAGCGCTTGTCAAGGTCACAAACAATGTCATCTCTCTCTGTGACCAGGGCTCTCTCTGCTTCATTGTCCTCCTGGTCATAATGGGTGATATCCCCCGCACGGTCACGAGTGGCGTCCCTCAGAGCTCTGTCCTCGGGCCCCTCCTCTTTAATCTATACTCGTTGATGTCATCCGCAAGCATGGGGTCAATTTCCTCATGTATGCGGATGACGCCCAACTCTATCTCGCTGCCTCCAGTGTCGACTCCAGGACCGTTGATGTCCTGTCAAGTTGTCTGTTATACAAGTCCTGGACAAAGGCCAACTTCCTCCAGCTCAATGTTGGCAAGACAGAGGCCCTCCTGCTTGGCTCCCGGCAGTGCCTCCATAGCTGCTGACATTATCACTATTCATGCCTGCACTCACTGAGCCAATCCAAAATCTCGGGTGTCCTTTTCAACCCTCAGCTATCCTTTAAACCCCACCCAGTCATGACCCGTTCCGCCTTTCCACACCTTCGCAACGTTGCCCACCTCCGCCACTGCCTCTCACCGCAGGCCGCTGAGACCCTGATCCACTCGTATCATATCCTGGTTTGACTACGCCAACTGCCTATCTCTTCCTTTGCCCCTTCCTTCCCCATCTTCAGGTCGTGCCTGAAGACCTTCCTCCACTCTCAATGGCTCAGGACGCTACCCTGCATGAGGAGCACTGTGTAAATGCAAGTTGTTGTTGTAGCACTTTGATGTGAAAGGCGCTCTATACATGTAATTTTATTGTTGTTGTCTCTCTTTCTCTTACTTTCTGTCCAAACTCTTCCATATTACTCCTCCACCAGTTACTATTCCACGCCATGGCACTCTGGGTTGTACTATCCCTGTGTGTGAAGGCGGGTTCCTAACCTTTCTTTTAACTCTTTCAGTGACCATACTTATCATTAGTCAGCAGACAGGTTTAGCTTCAACAACCAAGTTACGAACCTCTAAGGTTCACAATGTTTTTTTTAAAATGGTTTTAATTTCTCCTCAATCAATCATTCTTCACGTGTAAATGGGAAATCACTGAGTCTGTCTCACTGGCTCAGGGACAGCTCTACTATAGCGGGAACACACTCTCTGTGAAAGCTGTGTACATGCAGTGTGACATCCAGTCTAAACTGAACAGCTTAACGTTTGCCTAAAGCTGATTGATAACACATTAACCGGGGCACTGGCTCAGATTCCACTCACACCGCCCCCTCCCCCAGCTCACACCGACCCCCCCCCCCCTCCCCCAGCTCACACCGACCCCCCTCCCCCAGCTCACACCGCCCCCTCCCCCAGCTCACACCGACCCCCTCCCCCAGCTCACACCGCCCCCCCCCAGCTCACACCGACCCCCTCCCCCAGCTCACACCCCCCCCCCCCCCCACCGACCCCCCCCCCAGCTCACACCGACCCCCTCCCCCAGCTCACACCCCCCCCCCCCCACCCCCCCCCCCCCAGCTCACACCGACCCCCTCCCCCAGCTCACACCGACCCCCTCCCCCAGCTCACACCGACCCCCCCCCAGCTCACACCGACCCCCCTCCCCCAGCTCACACCGACCCCCTCCCCCAGCTCACACCGACCCCCTCCCCCCAGCTCACACCGACCCCCCTCCCCCAGCTCACACCGACCCCCCCCCGCTCACACCGACCCCCTCCCCCAGCTCACACCGACCCCCCTCCCCCAGCTCACACCGCCCCCCCCCCCCCCCCCCCCCCTCCCCCAGCTCACACCGACCCCCCCTCCCCCAGCTCACACCGACCCCCCTCCCCAGCTCACACCGACCCCCCTCCCCAGCTCACACCGACCCCCCCCCCCCCCCCCCCCCCCCCCCCCCCCCCCCCCTCACACCGCCCCCCCCCCCCCCCAGCTCACACCGACCCCCTCCCCCAGCTCACACCGCCCCCTCCCCCAGCTCACACCGACCCCTCCCCCAGCTCACACCGACCCCCTCCCCAGCTCACACCGACCCCCCCCCCCGCCACCCCCCCCCCCCCCCCCCCCCCCCCCCCCCCCCCCCCCCCCCCAGCTCACACCGACCCCCCCCCAGCTCACACCGACCCCCTCCCCCAGCTCACACCGACCCCCCCCCCCAGCTCACACCGACCCCCCCCCCAGCTCACACCGACCCCCTCCCCCAGCTCACACCGACCCCCCCCCCCAGCTCACACCGCCCCCCTCCCCCAGCTCACACCGACCCCCCCCCAGCTCACACCGACCCCCTCCCCCAGCTCACACCGACCCCCTCCCCCAGCTCACACCGACCCCCCTCCCCCAGCTCACACCGACCCCCCTCCCCCAGCTCACACCGACCCCCTCCCCCAGCTCACACCGACCCCCCTCCCCCAGCTCACACCGACCCCCCCCCCTGCTCACAGCCCCCGACCCCCCCAGCTCACACCGCCCCCCCCCCAGCTCACACCGCCCCCCCCCCAGCTCACACCGACCCCCCCCCCCCAGCTCACACCGACCCCCCCCTCCCCCAGCTCACACCGACCCCTCCCCCAGCTCACACCGACCCCCCTCCCCCAGCTCACACCGACCCCCCTCCCCCAGCTCACACCGACCCCCCCTCCCCCAGCTCACACCGACCCCCCCTCCCCCAGCTCACACCGACCCCCCCTCCCCCAGCTCACACCGACCCCCCCCCCCAGCTCACACCGACCCCCTCCCCCAGCTCACACCGACCCCCTCCCCCAGCTCACACCGACCCCCTCCCCCAGCTCACACCGACCCCCTCCCCCAGCTCACACCGACCCCCTCCCCCAGCTCACACCGACCCCCCCTCCCCCAGCTCACACCGACCCCCCCTCCCCCAGCTCACACCGACCCCCCCTCCCCCAGCTCACACCGACCCCCCCTCCCCCAGCTCACACCGACCCCCCTCCCCCAGCTCACACCGACCCCCCTCCCCCAGCTCACACCGCCCCCCCCCCCCCCCAGCTCACATCGACCCCCCTCCCCCAGCTCACACCGACCCCCTCCCCCAGCTCACACCGACCCCCCCCTCCCCCAGCTCACACCGACCCCCCTCCCCCAGCTCACACCGCCCCCCCCCTCCCCCAGCTCACACCGACCCCCCCTCCCCCAGCTCACACCGACCCCGACCCCCTCCCCCAGCTCACACCGACCCCCTCCCCCAGCTCACACCGACCCCCTCCCCCAGCTCACACCGACCCCTCCCCCAGCTCACACCGACCCCCTCCCCCAGCTCACACCGACCCCCCCCCCAGCTCACACCGACCCCCTCCCCCAGCTCACACCGACCCCCCTCCCCAGCTCACACCGACCCCCCTCCCCTCCCCCAGCTCACACGTTGTGATTACACATTATGTCAACATTTTGTACACCATACACTGCTGTTCTGCTGTTTGCGGAAATCCACAACCTTAAAACCTTTGTTACAGACTCTGTAACCTCTCAGGCCCCCACCCTCATCACCCCCAGCTCACACCGACACTTCCCCCTCCTCACCCCCTACTGCGGCCGAAGAGGAAAACAACAACAACAAAACTACATTTGTATAACGCCTTTCACGTGGGGAAAATGTCCCAAGGTGCTGGACAGAGTTTCAGACACGAGCTGGGGGTCGGGGTCAGGGAGTGTGGAGGGTGGGGGGAGGCAGGGAGATCGAAAGCATAGTCGAAGAGGAGGGTCTTGAGATGGGTCTTGAAGGAGGCGAGGGAGCGGGCGAGGCAGAGGGACTGCGGGATGGAGTTCCAGAGGGTGGGGCAGAGTGGCAGAAGGCCTGTTCGCCAATAGTAGGGTGAGCGAGGCGGGGGGCACGAAGCAGGCCAGACACTGCTGAGCAGAGGGAGTGGGAAGGTTAGTAGGGGGTTAGGAGGTCGCAGAGGTCGGGGGGAGCAAGTATGGAGGGCTTTGAAGGTGAGGACCAGGATCTTGAACTGTATCCTCTGTGTGATGGGAAGCCGGTGGAGGCAGATGAGGATGGGGGTGATAGGATCATGGAGCCTGGTGCGGGAGAGGACATGGGCTGCAGAGTTCTGGATGATCTGCAGCCTATGGAGGGAGGAGTTGGGGAGGCTGACAAGCAGGGAGTTTGCGAAGTCGAACCTCGATGGACTGAAAGCACCGAATGGCAGAAAGCAGAGTGCCAACCAGTCAATCACCGGTGCTCTGACTGTAAACTGTGCGAATCAATGACAATAACACAATAACAGAGCCGAGAGCCATGGCTTATAAGAGGCTTTCAGACAATTACAATTTTTAGGAAGATGTTCGGCAAAACAGACGTTTGGCAAAACACTTTGATAAATAGAAATGATCGCTTGCTAAATCGTGACAGAAGTGTCTGATTCCCTGTCAGCCAATACAAGCCTGTGGCCATCTACACGGAGCTCTGCCCAGACTCACCGCGCTCTCAGTTTTCCTTCATTCCTTGTTGATTCCTCAAGAAATCAGTGGCACTGAACTGTTTAAATCATCTGCACGCTCTGCATTACTCCACGGGCTGCTTTGCATTTATACTGTACTAGCTGAACCCATTGCAGCTCCGCTTGCAACCAAAGGATCCAATATGGAATGTAGATTTCAGTGTTATTAGGTTAGATTATATTATTCTACTTTATATAACAATATGAGATCCCCACCCCACTCCCAAAATATTCCCTCGACACTCTAGAAGGGTGTGTGATCTCCTCTGTCACTACCTTGTTCCAGAATACCATGCATACCTCATATTTTGGGGCTTAATTAAAGTATTTTTTTAAATATAGCTCATCAAAACATGCCCATGACACTCCCTTCTGCAAGACCTTTCCGATGAGATGTAAACCATGTCTCTACGTCGATCGGTTATTGCGCTATTGGCGGACAGACACACACACAGACATTTCGTCTTTATCAGTCGAGATAGAAAATTTCCTGCTGTTCACCAATCTGACCTCTGCACCACCAGTTCCATCCACCCGATGGTGCTGCAGCCCCACTAAAACTGCAACAACTTGTTTCCGATCAAGAACGAGCATCAAAATCCAATGAGAGGCAAATCCGTTTCAATGATTATTATTAAAGAAAAGTTACTCAATTCATGTAGGCAAAAAAACCTGATATCAATATGCAAAATCATCTGATACACAGTCTGAACGAAGGAAACTGTCCAGTGAAGCTGAGATTTAGCTAAAGAAATTGATTTCAAAATCCTCGTTTGGAGTTCAAAATCCTTATCCTGGCCTTCGAAGCACTCCACGGTCTTACTCCTTCCTACCTCTGTGACCTAATGCTAACGCCATATTAACCTAACGGCATATTAACCTGTCCGCTCACTCAGCTCAGCAGGCTCTACCTGCTCCACTTCCCCCACCCTGCCCACCCCACCATCAGCGGTCAGGCCTTCAACCGCTCTGCTCCCACTCTTATGGAACTCAATCCCCCAGTCCCTTTGCCTCACTCCCTCCCTTGCTTCCTTCAAGGCCCGTCTCAAGACCCTCCTCTTCGACTGCGCCTTCGGTCACACTCCTAACCCTACCCTCCGTGAAAGGCGCTATACAAATGTAATTTGTTGTTGATTCATTTACCTTTCTTTTCCATCCGTTTCATGTCCATCAGCTTCTCAACATTGCTTGCGTCATTGAGCCAGAGCTGCATGCGGACAAAAGGCTCCCTGCCCTTCAGGCTCAGCTTGTGCCAGGGTTTGGGCCGTGCCAGCAGATCCGACACGGAACCTTGTGTCAGGCCCAGGATGGTCTCTCCAAACAGACGTTGGCCTGTTCGTGGGGACACAGAAAACAGTCAGCCAGCTCAGGCACAAAGCTACATCTCACCAACCACACACAGTTAGTAACTTTACTCAAAAAAATGTTTTAAGTGGAAACTCAGAATTTTTTGCAGAATTTGGAGGTTGCAAGAACTATAATAGTCAGTTATCTTCTCAAACCCCCCTCCCCCGTGTTATCAGCAAGGAAAAAGCTACCCCTCCCTCCCAATCAATATGGCCCGCACTATTTTTGGCGTACATTGGAACATGGAGTGCTTTGTGACGACTAAAGCTGAGACCACAATAATATCAATTAGATAAATATTTGAAGGGAAAGATTATGAACTGGGAATAGGGAAAATGCAAGGCATTGGAATGGGCTCCAATAGAGTGGCCTGATGGGCTGAACGGTCTCTTGCCTGTGCTGTTAGTTCTATGATCAGCGGCCTAACCTCTCCGTATCAATGTCTCTGCTCGATCATTTCACACCCCAAGACTTCCAATTGACTAACTGAACAGATACTCATGTAGGAGATTTACAGAGAACACAAACGTTCCCATAACATGATTTAAGAACAGCTGGATGCTGTAACAGCAAGCCTGGCCCTCATGATGGTTGAGATCAACTGGACAGAAGGGCTTGGTGTTGAATCTCTCGTCAGCTTGTGAACACTGAACTCTGAGGTTATAGCGAGGAAACAGGCCAAGTCTCCAAGTTACAGTTAATAAGCAATTTGAAGAAATAAATTGGGTTTAGTTTCATTTACATGATCATTGTTCCGGCTCTCAGCGTATCTCCAGAGTTCTGTGTATCAAAATTCTGATACAAACAGAACTGTTGTGTGGGGAGCGGAGCACTGCTCGTCTGCACAGACAGCAGGACATTTCCATCTGCTTTTACATTATTGCAGTTTAATGAGAAGCATATGCATTTAGCTCCAATGTCTAAGAGAATGCTCAACATTCGCTTATAGACGTTCCCAAAACAGGAAGGACCTCCGTCAGATCCCATTTTATCCCATTGGGACAGACTGCTGCTCGGCCAGGTCACACTGAAGAGGGCTTCACACGTCGCTCTCCCACGCTTCCCTGGCAGCATCGCCCCTTCCCCACGGGGTGTGATCTTACTCCCGGGAGGGGAACACTACACTGCATCACTGACCACTCTGTTACCCTGAGCTAACTCTGAGCAGCGCACCACTGACAGTGTTTTACTACACTTTCTGAGGTAACAACAACAACTTGGATTTATATAGCGCCCTCCATGCCGGACGGCGTCTCAGAGCGCTTTGGTAAGCCCGAGGTAAGCACGATGGCTGTGTATTTCTCAGGGACCATTCTGCTCCGACGATAACCAAGGGATATGGTTTCTTAACCTGCTCTCAGCAGCGGGTGTCACTCTGCTAAGGAGGACACAGAGCCGAGCGACAATGAGGGCAAAATAAAATGAAAAAGGCATCATCTAGCTGTAACCAGCTTGGGATACCGGCCACCATCAAGCTGCCTCCCCTTGTAACAGCCCATTCCCTTGGTCCCGCATCATGGCTGATGCAGCAGCTTAAACACCAGCAAGACACAACCCTTAAATAAACTTGCTTGCACATTTTTAAAATAAATTCTGGCTTGATTTTATTTCTCTTTTGTGCCCCCTCGCTCGCCCCTGCCCCCCCACTGCCTGATTGAAAATGGACTATTGCTCATGCTCTTCATCTGTTTAAGAATACACACACCAGTCGCCCTCCACTTTCTCGGCATTATAAATATGAATGATCACACGATTAAGGGACGCTGCTATTTTTAGCAACCTGCTAATGATTCTGCAATTGTCAGTAATCCGCGTGCAGTTTTTTTTTGCTTTAGATATTATCTAATCCAAATAGCCCTGACTTCCCAAGGTCTTGCTCTCTAGCTCCCAGAGATTAACAAAACAAAGAGATAGAACCCATCCTTGCAGCACACCCTCCCCGGAATTTCCATGGGAATAAACTCTTGCGCTTCTCATGTCTTCACAGCATCTTTCATTCATCTGCTGTGCAATCCCTGGGCCCATTGCTATCAGAAGCACATTTCACCAAGGCACGGGCTTGAGCTCCTGCTAATCATAGCCTCAGGCTCTGTATGGCCCCATTTCCAAGGGCAACAAATATATTCACCATGTGAGAGAGAGAGAGAAAGAGAGAGAGAAAGTGAAGGGGAAAACATTTAAATGCAGTTTTCCTTGTTTATTGTCAATGCTTTATAGGTGCACTGGTGCACATAAAACAGCAAACCGGCATTGCTTCTTTCAAATGATTTGCAAAATAGAGAATCTCAAAGTCTTTCTGACAATTTGTGTTTTTTTAATATAAATACAACCTTTTCACGCTTTCTTTATTTTCCCGGGATTTGGTTTGTTATTGCGGTTCGGTACAACGCCAGCTGCACTCCAGAAATCAGCCTCCAGCTTGCTTTGTGCAAAGTGTGAGGAAAACAATACAGGATTCTGCCCAACACTACACGGCCCGGCTAACTAACACGTGAACAGCAAAGGATGGATTTCAGACCCTCATCAATTACACTGCGACTCTGACGCTGTCCGAATAAAGTCATTTCAAGTCGATAATTTTCTTTGTTGGAACCCCAATTTACTGATTGTTTGCAAAATTCTGACCATACTGAGTATTTTATAAGCGAGCTGTTATTTGCAGAGTTGTGGGTACAAATATTAAACACGATCCTCAACAGCTTCGGTTTTATATATAAAATAATTAAAATATAATTTCAATCATTCACTCGTCACGTTGCTCACAGTGCCCAGCTAGACAGAGACCTCAGTCTGGCTCACTGAGGTGCAATTACTCAGACCAACTATATGCCACATCTCAAAGCAAGTCACAGTAATTACTCCCAGTGTAGTGACTGATTTTGTGGACAAATCCCACAGCCATTTGCATGAAATTCACAAGAACAGCCATAACGTAAACAACCACAGTCTCTGCCGGACACTGGGAGAAAGGGCCTGCTCATGTGAACAGGGATCTGTTCCGTTTCGCCCACAAAATATAGTCAATTCACTTTACAGTGTATCCTGTGAAGCGCTTTGAGACGTCCCAACAATGCGATAAGGCGCTATATCAAATGCAAGGATTATTATCTTTCACCTCCAACCCAACAAACAATACCTCACTTAATATCTCGTCCATAAGGTAGAAATCAATGAAGCTTTAACTACGTACTCGGACAAGACATCGCCCGCCCTGAGGGTCACAGTCCCACTCCAGTTGGACACAAGACAATCACATCTTAATATGTCATTCCAATAAAGTTTCAGAATACAGCTGCCCACCTGCAGTCTCTGCACGTTAGTGTGGAACATGGATTCAGCACCGTCACAGTAACACGCCTGAGCTGCTCACTGCACTTGCAGCTCCTGCCAATATATCCCTTTCACTTAATGGAGTAAATGGTCTAATTGTTTTAATCTCCTCTCAGATCGCAAGGAGATTGAATGAGATTTGCCATTGTCAGGGAATTCTCCGAGCAGCATGTGTTGTCTACTTGTCCCCGAGCAGGAGACGTGATTCAGGGAGCACAATGGAACTGCACGCTGACGCTCACAATGGACAACTGGAGTGAGTTACGTGGCTGCGATTTCATCAACAATTCAGATGATGCCAGAACACAGTGAGAGCAAAGCTCAAGTGGTTAATAGATGTCATCCAAAACTTGGAATAAAACGGCTGCTTGCAAGTCACTGCCTGATACTGTTATTCCATACAATACGTGCTGAACATGTTAATCAGCCATTTCTTGCTCAGGATTTGTGGGTGTGGGGGGGGGGCATGTGAAGGAGTCTCTGCATCAGCTGATGCCCGTATTTCTGGATACCCTTTTACAAGCGTTCTTACGGAAGGGAATTTTCAACGTGCTTTGATGCTGTGGTGTACCTATCAACGTTATCAACAAGCCACTTTCTGATAGGAGGTACATGAGCTCTTCGTGCCTGACCTGAGACACAGCATCACATGACAAGGAGGGACAGAGAACTTTAATGCTCCCCACCCCCACCCCCCCACTCCACTCCCCATAAATTGTAGGAATAACATGCTATACTCTACGTGACCTCAATTTGTCACAAAACGTCCTTGGCAACAAACAGCTCCCGTGCTTTGATTAAAGACCGCATCCTGCAGGCTCAGCGTTTCGCAGCACAGAGGCCCTTCACTGCACCGAGATGTCTGACACTCTGATAAATGGAGGCCAGCGCTGCTGCTGCAAGATGCTAACCCAGCCCAGTGCCAGTGAGTAACAACACTCATCCACCAACACTCAGCCCGTCAGGAACCTTCCCTCCACAGCCACAAACACCCAACATCTCCCAGGGATCGGATTGGAGAGATACTGAGCGGTACTCACAACGGTAAAAACACTCGCCACAGAATCCAGCTGGTCTTATCTCCAGAACAAACTCTCCCGTAGGCAATCCATCCCACAAAACCAGAGCGACCCGGCATTGAGCTGCTGGTATCAGACCACATAGAGACGTCACTATAATATCAGACTATGAGCTAACAGGCAATATAGCGGGGACACTGCTGATAATACTAAATGTATTTGCATTTAAGCAGCACCTTTCACATCAGAAGCATATCTCAAAAGTGCTTCACAGAATTTACTGCAATATATGATGACTGTGTATTTTACAGGTGAAGGTGGCAGCCAACCTGTGCACAGGAATGTCCCACACCAGGTGGGAAGGGAGTAATTAATTGAATGTGGGGATGAGAGTGCTCGTGCCTGATCTCTGCACACAGCGGGGTTCGAAGAGGACCAGGGTATTAAACAAACAGCACTAAACAGTTCATCATTCCCCGATCCAATTGCCTGTTTGGGAGGTTAGTTAGCGGTACAACAGAATTCTGTCAGTGAGCATCTTGTAGAAGAAAACAGAGGATGTGGTTTCCAGCAAAACGTCTGTTTATAACTAATTCTCCAGCTGTGACAACACTGGTGCTAAAATTAAGCTGCAGCGTTAGCGAAAAAAAAGGTTTGAAGTTCAATCAAAAAGTGTCTCGGCTGTTTTGGTGAGAGGATAAACAAGTTGGAGAGAGAGAGCCAGACATCCTTTCCCATGTTCACTTCTTGTACAAGATTCCCAGTGAGTAGGACATGAACACTCGCTCGTCTCCTTACCCAAGTTGTTGTCTGTCAGCACCTCTTTGACCTTCTTGGTGATGGTGTAAGTGTCGAGTTCGGGAGACATGGCGACCAGCTCTTGTATGCTGAGCGCTGACTGGCCGGCGAATGGCAGTGCTGTCAGAGCCTGAGGGTCAGCGGGGAGTGGCTCGCAGGCCTCTGGCGGGTTGTCCTGGCTGCCCTCGGAGGCTGGGGGGGCCTGTGACGACGGCTCTGCTAGACTCTTCACTGACTCCGCGGAGCTGATTGGGGACTCAGGGGCCGGGCTGCAACTGGCTGAGGTCTTTGGGGTTATCTCTGCAATACAGGAATGAAGATTTCAGTACAAGCCCACGGAGAGGTACTGTAACCTAGACCGACACCAACACTGAAACCACACAGCCAGAAAACCACAGAAATCTACCAGAAGCGGGTGGCTGTGATGACACTGGACAATGAATGTGAAGCCAGCTATTCTTATCACCATGACTTATTCTTTAACAACTTCCTCCACACATGTCCCTGTTAATTGCTCCATTCCAGTGGGAAGAGTTGTGACGAAGGGCTTATCAGAAGGTCCTGCACATGTAGTTTCAGTACCTCAGAACTCTCAGTGTGAAGACAGACACCCAGACATGTGGCTAAGTTAGGGGTTACTGCCCAGGTACAAGCAGATTGATTAAAAAGTTCTTTGAAATAAAAGGGAGTTTCAAAATACATTGCAAAGGAGAAGCTAAGAGGCTGACAGGTGACACATACCACATATATAAATTGTCAAGTATGTATCATTTACTCATCACGAATCCCTTTATTTCATCCACAAATATACAGTCAATTCACTCTACAGTGTGTTCTGTGAAGCGCTTTGGGACGTCCTCCTGATGTGAAAAGCACTATATCAAATGCAAGGATTATTATTATTATTATTATTATTATTATTATTTGTACACCACCCACCCAGCCAAACCTGCTAACAGCTGGTGCCCACTGAGACTGCACACACCCAGTCACCTACAGATTAGCAAAGTAACAACTCACACTGACTGGTGTTCAGGTGACTGAGGGTGAAAGCTTAACACTTCCCTTGTTTGGCAAACAGGAAATCAATAGGGTTAGCACAACAAAGAGTAGCTCCATAACCTGCCGGGTCCCCAGTTAATTGTTTCCATGTAGCTACTTTCTTTAGTAGGTCATGTTATAGAAATAGGTGGGAACCGTTCATTCTATCAAGAAAGAACTGACCCAATAAGAATAATACTTGCATCTAATACAGCACCTTTTAGCAAAAGATTTCCAAGTGCTTCACGCAGATTTTCTGGAAAGTGCAGTGAAGGTGTCTTTGTGGGAGAATGTGGTGGGCAATTTGCCCTCAGCAACATCCCATGAACAGCCATGAAGTGAATGACCAATTTTATCTGGGGGATTGTTGGCCAGGACAGCAGGAGAAACTCTCTTCACTTTCAGTAATGCCATGAGATTGTTATTGTCCGCATGAACAGGCAATTAGGATCTTGCTTTAATGTTGCATCTGAAGGACAACGTCTCCAACAATGCAGCACTCCATCAGCCTTGCACAGGAGTGTTAGCCTACACAATGAACTTAAAAGTCCCTCGCCTCCTTCAAGACCCATCTCAACACCCTCCTCTTCGACCATGCTTTCGATCACTCCCCTTGCCCTCCACCCTCCCCAATCCCGACCCCCAGCTAGGGTCCGAAACACTAGGTGACTGGGTGTGCTGTTGACTTGGGGCTTGAACCCACAACCATATGCTTCAGAATGATACTAACCGAGCCAGGCCGACACCTTTTAAGAATGAAGGTGATTGGGCGAACACAAAATGGGGAGAGAGAGGATTTAAAAATCGGACGAGCCAGATGGACTGTAGGTTTTTTTTCCCAGCCTTAATCATATTCCTAATGAAAGAAGCTTTAAACAAGGATTCCAAGACGATCTAAAATATCACTGCACTGAAATCATTCTGACAAGTGCACATCTCCTTTTTATGGACACAGGTGATTTATTTGGTGGATGGGCCTTTCCAAACTCCACCACTTTATTATCTCACAGTATATAAATCCCAATGAGGGAACTTGACTTAATGCTTTCCTAGGTATTTAAAAAGCCTGCACTCTGGTGATGTAGACATGGCGCTGCCTGCTGTGCTGAAGCCAGTTCAGGCGTTTTAAGGTCTCAATCTTCAGTTACTCACAGAGCACACACTACAAATGAAGTGGTTTAAAGCACATTTTTAACCTTTGCTAATGGAACATCTTTTGTTACTAGTGATTGAAGCACTTTAGCTTGCATTCTATGAGGCACACTGTGAACACAGACATCTTCTCAGAAACACTGGGTTCACAACATACCGAGTGACTCTTACTGAGGAGGGAGGAACTACAAGAAAGATTGTAAACTAATATTTACGGTTTCAGACCAGGGTTCCGACACTCGTACGAACAAAAATACCTCAACACACAATGCCACAGATTGGCTCTCACTGTGACCTGGGTTCCCCTGCACCAAAACAGGCAGAAGATTAATTAATCTAAAGGTGTTCAGAGCTGCTTAAATGCATATTGGTGTGTTCTGTCCTGACTGACACCTCCACATAGTCTGTGATTAGTTTGACACTGGAATAATCAAACAATTTTCTGGTCAGCCAGCAGCACGTCACTATTTTAATTGAAGTCATCAGGAAAACACCACACCTTCTACCCTGTAACGTGCTAATGCTCACCGAGCCCCTCGTGGCTGAAGCATGTTGTTTTTTTAATCATTGCACCAGAGTTTTGTGCCAAATGTGCTGCTGGTTCACCCATGCGAGACAGCAGACTGGCAGCTCATCCGTCTTCCTCACTGGGTGGTGTCAAAGATGGCATAAATTCCAGCATGATAAAGATATTCCTACTCGGATCCACGTCCTTTAACCCCCACCAAGGTCAGAGCTGCGACTGCTGGCTACTGAAATAAATGGGCACTTTTCTGACTTGTTTAGTTCCAATTTTTCATCAAAAGACCAGTTCCTCTCTGACAGCCGACACCGAGAATGAATCTCACTGACACTTTAAAGTCTGCTTCATCAGACGCCTCATTTTAGTAGATTGAAGCAAATGCACGTTTTATAGCAACGACCATTGACAGAATCAGAACATTGTAGCACAGACACTGGCCATCCTGCACTATAGGCTTTCTTCACATGAGCCACCTACTCTACTCTCTGAACTTGGTATATCCTTTAATATAATAAACCTGACATTTGATGTAGTGCTTTTCACGTCTTCGAGACGTCTCAAAGCACTTCACAGAATATACTGTAAAGTGAATTGACTGTATATTTGTGGGCGAAACACGGCAGCCAATTGCGCACAGCAGCGTCTGTCCCACAAACAGTCATGGATTGAGTGACAAAATTATTATTGCTTTTGTTTGAAGGATTATTATCCCCCTGGAAAATCGATCCGCCAATTGACTAAACAACTATTGACTTGAGCAACCAGGTTCCTACTTACTGCTAGGTAAACAGAGACATGAGGAGTAAGGAAACTTGCCCAAGGTTTTGCCCTGCCAGGAATTGAACCCAGGTCATTCGCTTGCGAGGCGAGTGCTCTAACCATTGAGCTACAGGATAACTGTATGTTTTAAGCATCTACCTAATTCCCTTCTCCACAGCAAAGCTGAAGCCATCCAATCCTTTACCAGTACAGCTACCTCACTTTCTTTTGAATTTGTTGACACGCACCCCATTGTGCAGAACTTGTGGCTATGCTAAACACACCATTAGAGTTTGGATTACCTGCACCCTCGATCGCTGATACTTCAATAGGATTCCCCCTGTCGGATGGATGCTAGTGGTATTTAGTAAAACTAAAGCAAATCGGTGTGGTTATTTAGTGCAGTTTTGTTGGAAGGAAAAATACTCTGTTCGCTCTCTCATGAGATTCCCACATCTTTGCTGTCGTTAGCCAGCAATGTGGGGCAGCGAGCATTGGCCATGGAAAAGGTGGCCTTGTCTGACCCGCGCTGCCCCCTCTCACACACACTCACTCACTCTGCTGAAGCAGGGTCAGAGCTGTACCCAGGAGAAGGACTCGGACTGAACATGGCTGAAAAATAGGCTTTAACCTTGGGCATCCAGGCTCAATATCAGCCTCTCTGCACGCGGGGAGGCTGGCTGTTGTGACAACACACCTATTGCTGGCAGAAAAAACATGCGTATTTTTGGTAATAAAAATAAAATGTTTAAAGAAAAATTAAAGGTTAAAGAAGAGAATCTTTTCTGTGTTATAATCGGGATAAAGACAGCCACTTTCCTGTCCTGGTTATAACCTGAGTGACGATGCGGGGGGGCTGTGACTTTCTCCTGTGTGGAGAGGAGAGCAGAGGAAAGGGAAATCCAGTTTTTATGGTTTCCTCTGCATCGGGAATATGATGCATTAAAAACCTAATGTCTTTGCAGTGTTTCCTCTGCTCTGTGCAGTTATCCTCCAAACATCATTGGAAAGTTTCCAAGCCTTCTCTGTGGCCAATAATCGCTGGTTGCAGTGGCGCGCCAGCCTCATTTCCAGCGGCTTTCTGAATCACTGCTCAACCTGCTCTCAAACGCTATTACAGTGATTGCCGCAGCCGATCTGCGAGGCGGTGGCGTTTCATTCTGTGAGAGTGCGGACAGCAGCCGCTGAGAGCTGGGCTGGGCAGGAACAAGCTTTTGTTGCCTGTTGGTTGCTGATTCCCTTTGTCCCCAGTGTCTGGGCCAGGACTGTAAGTGCAAATCAACAGCAAAAGTCACATCTGATGCGAATTTGCAGCTCCAACATAAACAGAGATGCATGAGTGATGTTCTGACATCAGGATATGGTTTTGTTGTTCCTTCCTCCCCTTTATAAACCCCCTCAGATAGCAGCAGATGAGCGCGTTATAATAAACTTGACTGTCTTCATTTTCTGCCTATTTGAACAGTCAGGATAAAGTCATTTCCTATTATTACAGTCCTGTGCGAACAGCTCGAAGAAGCCCATGTCTGCAAGCATTTTTCACCATGAAATAATTATTATAACTGACATTTTTACTGCTGGCATGCCACAAGGCAAAATGTGCATTTGGAAAAAAGGAATTATTACAAGGAAACAGAAGAGCATTCAGCAATATGCTGCCAGACATAATCACTGTTCTGTTTATAAAAATGGCAGCGATGAAACATGCAAACATGCAGTTTTTTACTCTCCCAAAATGCTTTCTGGTTCTTCATGGCTGCCAGGACCTAATCCATTTGTTTGGTTTGCATTTAAAGACTGTTTGTCAAACTATTAAATTAAGACC